AACGGCTATCCACTGTTCGGATCATTCTGACTTTGCTAGTGAAATTTACGGATTAGTATAGATGGTTTCCAAGTACTCACGTTGTTCAGTAGTATATATTATCTTGGCTCATGAATCATAGATCGTGCTTTGAAATCACAGTTTCTAACAGAAACCCTATTGACAATGTAGTTCAGAATGTGAAAAAATGTCTTCGAAACTGTGAGAGATATCAAATATAGATCATGAAAATTATAAATAATTTGTTAACTGATCATCTACAATTGTATTTTGTTTTGTATGTCTGCATGATATTACGTGATTCACACTTTCGTTCTGCTTAATTTACAGTTCTTTACTTTCACAGATCATTACTCGATAATCTTCGTAAATGTAACTTTCAAATTTTGATGAAACAGCATTTATTATTTTGACTGAAAAAACAGTGTTTTGATTTGTTTGAAGTAATTGGTGCTTGTAAATTGAATAGAATACATAAATGCAACAGGAATGCACTGACTTGACATTGATGTTGAAAACCCGAATCTTCTTCACGCTTTATGTTGAGTGCAGAAGGTCTTCACACGAGTTTCAGGTTAATGACCACCTGTCTTGCTTTTCCGATCGTGGCTTTGACGTCTTCGTCTGTGCCGCCGCCTACAGTTGAAACAGTGCTGCGTAGATAGGTAAAAGAGGCTACTTCGTTTAAGCTTCTCCCGTTGATGATGATTGAGGCGTGCATTCAACATAATGCATGAACAAGATCCGGATTTTCAACATCAATGTGAAGTCAGTGCTTCTATGTTATTTTTGAGAGACTTGGCGCGTTACAAAAGGGATCTTCAACAAACTACAGACATTCATCAACAACTACCTACGCTCGTTACTGAAGCTGAAATGGCCAGAAAGAATAAGCAACAAGGAACTCTGGCTGACAATGAAAGAACCAACCAAGAACCTACCACTCAACAAATATGCAGAAGGAAGTGGAGATGGATTGGATTGGGCATACACTGGTAAGACCCACAGGAGACCCTCAAGTGGAACCCCGATGGGAAGCGACGAGTTGGGCGTCCGAAGCGAGGATGACATGGAGGAGATTGTGTCAGGAAGAAATGAGAGCTTTTAGGCTGTCGTGAAACCAGGTTCAAAAGATTGCAGAAAACAGAGTGAAATGGAGACGTGCTACTGAAGCTTTATGTTCCATTAGGAACCCAAGGGACGAATATATATATATATATATATATATATATATATATATATATATATATATATATATAATTTCATTGTAATTTAACTCAGCCAGACAATTTCTTATATCTCTTCTTGGCTAAAATAAACTGTGCACACTGAACGCATATGAAATGACTGGTCTCTGCAGTGAATGTCCACAAGAGTGTGTGCATTTCAGTATCCAATTCCTCTCTCTGATGCCTTATCTCATCTTGAATGTATTTTAAAGAAGAGAGAAAAGATAATGCCTTTAAACAGTTGTCTAGAAAAGCTTCATCAATCGAAATTAATAAGATATTAACTTTCACCTAGTACACAAATAAATTAACCCAGTTGTATAGCTCAGATCTAACACTCAAAAGTGTCCTTAATACTGCTGATCATGGAGTACAGTTGCATTTATGTATTCTACTCAATTTACAAGCACCAATTACTTCAAACAAATCAAAACACTGTTTTTTCAGTCAAAATAATAAATGCTGTTTCATCAAAATTTGAAAGTTACATTTACGAAGATTATCGAGTAATGATCTGTGAAAGTAAAGAACTGTAAATTAAGCAGAACGAAAGTGTGAATCACGTAATATCATGCAGACATACAAAACAAAATACAATTGTAGATGATCAGTTAACAAATTATTTATAATTTTCATGATCTATATTTGATATCTCTCACAGTTTCGAAGACATTTTTTCACATTCTGAACTACATTGTCAATAGGGTTTCTGTTAGAAACTGTGATTTCAAAGCACGATCTATGATTCATGAGCCAAGATAATATATACTACTGAACAACGTGAGTACTTGGAAACCATCTATACTAATCCGTAAATTTCACTAGCAAAGTCAGAATGATCCGAACAGTGGATAGCCGTTTGGTTTATTCAAAATCGAACTCTTAAGTGGTCTGGCTAAATGAATTTTGCTCACAGAATCCAAAAGATTAAAACTTTGAACATCAATTGTCAACTTGTAAAGTCAATATTCTTTCATATTTTCGTACTATGCAACTGCACTGCACACAGATGTACACATAAATTCCCTGATAAAAATTTTTAGCTTGTTGATAACTAAGGTAAAAAAAACCCTACACTTTAGTTTCCATATACATTATCCTGTAACCGGCTATTAGCCAAACTTACCCTATGAAGGATGATGTCATTACCTGGCTGTCTCGATCAAATTAAGTTGAAAAAACTCGAACCCTGTAACTAAATGGTCAACATTTGTCTAAATCGATAATTTACAATTCGGATGAGTGGAAAATACATTGAAAATTTGTAGAGACAGCATCGTTATTTTTCCATGGATTGATTTAATTTTCTAGAATTGTTCTTCAATGAAAAAGGACTTCCAACTTATTGAATAGTCTTCTTTAACGATATCCTAAGCCAATATAACGCCTGATGATTCAATTTATTTTGTATTTTTAACTGGCTTCTAGATGGGTTTGTCAAAGCTCGAATAAGAAGCTGAAATCTGTTGGGTCAGCGAAGTCTGAAATGAAGATATACAGGTTCAGGCATGACATTGTATGAAGATTATTATACATCGTTAATTCACACAAGTTAGAAAAAGTGGCTAAATAGTAACGTGCTATATGCCAGACGACCCTGTGTACCATTTTGCATAGAGGTGTCGGATATATTATTGAGAAGTCTGAAGCTAGAGTTTAATAATTGTCTCGACCTTCCTAAACCTTGATAATTTCTTATTTACTGTCAAACAGTGAAGAAAAGTGAATTGAATTAGTCAATTCCTCACAAATCTCGATGACCGAAGTAGAGTCAAGAAGTGGTTAACAGAAGTTCCTTAGCTCATCTGATTGAGTACCGAGCAAATAACCCAAAGGTTATCGGTTCGGATCCTTCCCCAACCTGGCTTTCATCTTCGCTTTCAATGGTCATCTAGTATCAATTTGGTTTTTGTTTATTTGCTAACCGACTTGTTAATGCGTCATCAAATTACCTTTCAGTACAAACGAATAAACGATATTGGCGAAGCTGAATATCAAACAATATTGTTAATTACGAAGTTTATATTCCCAGTAGAGAAAAGTGTTACACCGTACTGATACTTAGGATTTAAAAATTCTCCACAATAATAGCATTTACAGTTGATCCGGTTTGGATACCATAAAGATAATGAAAATATAGTAAAATTATCGATCGAAAACTTCTAGGAAATGGTTAAAGCATAAATAATCATTTCCAGTAATTGTTTTCGGAAGGAGAAAATTTCTGAGCTTAGATTCTTCATCTAGCTACTGTGTTGTCAGTATGACCTTAAGGTACAGATGGTGCTTAAGTGAAGAAATCGAAAAAAGGAATTTATTCCTCTTGTACGGTATTTGGAGGCGGATGAAAATAGCATAGGCATGATTGTGAGACAGCTTGTGTTTTTGAGTTGATGTATTTATGCGTGCCTCACCTGTTGTTTAAAACATTGTGAAGGAGTATAGTTCATTTTGTTAATCAAAAATGCATACTCTATATGATATACAGTCGTGTTGAAATGAGCAGGCTACTCTTCAGTATATTAATGGAATACGTTTACTTTCATAATTTACTCACCTTCTTCGATTCAATCATAGGAAGAAATGCATGTCTATTTTAGCTGCTCCCTCCACTTGATATGTTGTATGTAGGTGAAGGTGCAACTGGGACCAACTACACTCATTCGACCCACCTACTAATGCACCACTTTTTCCTGGTACTAATCACTTCTGGACATTATCATTACTTACTGGCAGTATTAATATTATTACTTAATCCAAGTTACAAGAGAACTGATGAACCCTTATGCTCGTATTGTCGTGCTTGCATCAATTACAATAATTAGCGGTACTAGCAACAGTTATCAGCCACTGTATATACCATACATCGAAGCTTGTGTGTGCGTGTGTGTATGCGAGTCAGCTAGAAAAGTGTACCACACGTTTCTTCCCTCAATTATACACAGTCAGACACAATGGACTGCATTCTGATGTAGATTAGACCTTTCAAAGTATTCATGACGTTTTTGTGTGTCCTATTATTACTACCTCTTGTCAACTGATTGTATGAGCTTCCTGACTCCTATTTCGCTTCTTCTTTGATTTTGACTCAAAAAATAACTTTCTTGTATGCCTTGGTTAGGTGCCTAAAGATAATAGTTGTTTGTTTCATACAACCCTTCTTTTTCTTATTCAAGTGTATTTGATAGTCAACCGTTCTGTTCATTTCTGTGTCCATTTATTACCATTACTAGCATCATCATCATTATTACTATTAATATGACTCTTAGAAAGCCTTCTTCATATATATGCTGCCTTACTTTACTCATTTGTGTATTAAATTTTCTTATTATTATTATTATCACCATATTTTTGTGCATTGAAGAAAAGGTAAACAATAACTAGTGTTATTGGCTTGTTGTGTTTTCTTTTTGTGTCGATATTTTACGTATACAAGGATAGTGAAAGCTGCAATTATACTGAATACTTTTATCATTATTTATCTATTATGTGTAAATAACCTTTCTGTTTTCGTTTCTTTATGCACACTGCATAAGGGTTTTTGTTTATGTTGTGTGCACGTGTGTGTGTGTATTTGTACGAAAGAGAGAAAGAAACACACAGATAGAGATAGACGGAGAAAATGACAGCGAGTAATGTATTATTCTCATTTCTCAACAGTTGATACTGCTCCCATTTCGTCTTCCTGAAGAATATTGTCTTTTGAAAAGTGTATTTTGTGTGTGTACTCACTCATTAACTGAATTGAATAACACCGACAGAAATACACACACACAAAAAGAAAACACAACAAGCCAATAACACTAGTTATTGTTTACCTTTTCTTCAATGCACAAAAATATGGTGATAATAATAATAATAAGAAAATTTAATACACAAATGAGTAAAGTAAGGCAGCATATATATGAAGAAGGCTTTCTAAGAGTCATATTAATAGTAATAATGATGATGATGCTAGTAATGGTAATAAATGGACACAGAAATGAACAGAACGGTTGACTATCAAATACACTTGAATAAGAAAAAGAAGGGTTGTATGAAACAAACAACTATTATCTTTAGGCACCTAACCAAGGCATACAAGAAAGTTATTTTTTGAGTCAAAATCAAAGAAGAAGCGAAATAGGAGTCAGGAAGCTCATACAATCAGTTGACAAGAGGTAGTAATAATAGGACACACAAAAACGTCATGAATACTTTGAAAGGTCTAATCTACATCAGAATGCAGTCCATTGTGTCTGACTGTGTATAATTGAGGGAAGAAACGTGTGGTACACTTTTCTAGCTGACTCGCATACACACACGCACACACAAGCTTCGATGTATGGTATATACAGTGGCTGATAACTGTTGCTAGTACCGCTAATTATTGTAATTGATGCAAGCACGACAATACGAGCATAAGGGTTCATCAGTTCTCTTGTAACTTGGATTAAGTAATAATATTAATACTGCCAGTAAGTAATGATAATGTCCAGAAGTGATTAGTACCAGGAAAAAGTGGTGCATTAGTAGGTGGGTCGAATGAGTGTAGTTGGTCCCAGTTGCACCTTCACCTACATACAACATATCAAGTGGAGGGAGCAGCTAAAATAGACATGCATTTCTTCCTATGATTGAATCGAAGAAGGTGAGTAAATTATGAAAGTAAACGTATTCCATTAATATACTGAAGAGTAGCCTGCTCATTTCAACACGACTGTATATCATATAGAGTATGCATTTTTGATTAACAAAATGAACTATACTCCTTCACAATGTTTTAAACAACAGGTGAGGCACGCATAAATACATCAACTCAAAAACACAAAGGTGTCTCAGATATTACGCGAAATATGGAGTTTTTCTTACTGTTGTATCAATAACAGGAACGTTTAATAAAAAATGAAGGAGAGTAACAACGAAAACATAGTAGATTGTATTCACAAGTAAGATCATGGACTGCATAGAACAAAACATAAGAGATAATATTCGTACAGTGATAAATAAGTGGTAGGAGGATGGGTGGGTGAGGCGATAAACGAAGCTAGTAGAACCATATGACAGGGAAAGAGAGAGAGAACGCATTTATTATGATAAAGGTTTTGAAAGTTTACTGATTACACGAATAAGGGCGCCATTCTCCTCTTTCATTCTAGAAATCTCTTCACGTAAACGAACGATATCCTTTTAGAGAGAAAAAGAGAAGAAAAGAAAAAAGCAACAATTGCTATTATTGATAAGAAGAGATAATCAAAAAACAAAATAAAAACAATTGTACATGAGAAGTTTTCTAGTGAGATGTGATTTCAGTTTGTCTTTATTATTTAATACAGTTGGTTGTAGATAATTTATCATAAAAATCACTGAAACAATGTACTAGATGGTGTTAAACATCTACTGTGAGAATACTGCCACCACTATAATCATCGATTTTCTGTAACAACTTCATGAATAAATTCATTACAGCTTTTTGATTTGGTGTTGATGCGTTTCAAGTAAGCATTGAAGATAGACAGAGAAACTTAAATTGTCAGTAATGGATTCTGTGAAGCAATGTAAAAATGAGTAGTGAAGAGTAGTGTTGCCATGAGACAGATGAGGAACAGTTTAAGTGATATAAAAGAGATGATAAACGGTTTATATATTTTTGTTTCTTACAGATGTCGTGTAAATAACTTGGTAATTTCATGTCTGCGTTTCATTGCAGTAAATGCTTCATTTCAAAAGTTGGTTTCATATTTCTATCCGCTAATGTTTATCTAGGCAATTATCATTGTCTCATATACCATAAATAACGTTCAAAGGTATTTTCATTAGTTCAACTTAATTTCTATACTAACGTTTATTTCAATGACTCAATAGCCTGGGATTTAAAACTTTAGTTTTGACAAACTAACTCTCTTCTATGTAGCTATTTTTCCGTCATCTTGTTCAAATCCCAGTGATGGTCAGCTTGTCCAAGATATTTTCATCACAAACTGAATAAAACTTTGACGATGCATATTAGCAGGAAGCAGTGCTCATAGCATTATTTTTTGGGGCTTAACTAAACTATTCTGCTGGTCAGTGTTTAACACTTCAATTTAAATAGTAAGGCAAACATTATTATGTATGCTTCTCTGTGTATTAAGGAAACCAACCTACCAGATATGACTACACTAATGTCTCTCAGCACCCAGTGCCAAGTTCTTATACTAGGATAAGGAACAACAAATGAAGGTCAGTGCTGCTGTTATGTACTACTTATACTAACACATGTAAGTAGTATGTGTCACAATGCCCATAGGAAAATCAAGTGGAGTCATCATGTAGTCAGCAGAGGGAGAAAGCGAGAAAATTAGGAGTGGAAAAACAGGTGACAAAGAAAGAAGTGACATACACTGAAGATTGACTCATCTCGAATGTAGAATACAAATACTATTGGCATGAACTATAATGCATGTAAATCCTTCATATTTTACCAATAATGAGTATAATTTCCCAATGAACAACTGCATTAGTCTTTACCTGTGTTGTCTCTATAAAACTGACACCTAGTTGTCCTATATAACTAAGCAAGTAATAGGTTGACAGTGTTTGGTAGATACAAGAACAAATGAAAAACGCGTAAGTAGAAACGGAGAGAAAGACCGACACTGACTTACCTTCATTTTGTCCTCATATGAGAGGAGACGATTCGGGAGCTTAAATAATGATAAGACAGTGGAAAAAACAGATGAACAAAAGACTTGGCAAAAAAAGGAGAAAACCAAACAACGATTGTCATATACAATTTATACCACACACCAAGTTGCAATATCTATCAGACTTTTAAGTGTTGAATAGCTAAACTAAAAAGAGAGATAGCAAGGGATACTTTGGAATAGTGTATTGTAACTAACAACGATTTGTTCGCAGAAGTTTTACTAAAGCTTTGAAAAAAAGTATTCCTTTTAGTTTAATCATGAGAACAAAACAAGTAGAGGAAAGCTGTTAATGAAAAGATTCAAGTATTTGATTCTTTTTCCTAACCAGTCAGTAGACGACAAATGATCAATGATTTCAATCGGACAGCGTATATTCCCTTTTCATCTGTTCATTGGCGACAATCGAATTTCAGTATCGCCATTGTAAACGATGAGCAGAGCTTTGATAGATACTTCACATGATAAGAATTGGAATTTGTTAAGCTTCTATGCTAATCACTCATCCAGTTATTCTGTGTTATTGATGTTTACCAGTAAACGTTTCGGCGTAAATTTCCGGCTCACGAAGATGACAATAGTTTCCAAAGTGTTCCAGAAGCGTCAAAACTTAAACAGGCTTTCTTTCATCATTACTTCACAACCTACTTCAATTTAGGTCAATAAATAGTATCACGTGTCCTCCATTTATGAAAGTTGGTTTACAGCCTAATGTATAAACACGTACTGAGTTGTCGAACTGTATTGTAGTATGGCGCAATTCATGTCCATGATGCACAAAGTCTATTTTACAAGAAAAGTGTTGATTACGTCATCTAGCATAGTGATTAAGAATAACAAAACTCATTTCTAACGATCAGTAGATACATAATATCCGACATTGTGTAACTAGGGAGAAAGATATTACATGGGAAGTACAATACTGTTTCACTCTGAATTAAAATGAAACTAACACCAACAAAGTAGGCATGTGCACAGTTCCTGATAAATAACTGGTTAATGCTTACACAAAAGAAAATAAACAAAAAGGAATGCAAAGAACTATTTAGTAATGTCATCAGTTAAAAAAACCCCGTTTAAGTATTCGACTGAAATGAATGCTAGTTGAATCTTTTACAATTAACTAAACAACTTGGACCACCAGACATATGATGTGTGAAAAATACGGAATCGAATGAGATTAAGTCATTATCGAAAAAACACGATTATAAGTAATAAACAAACGTGAACTGAAAGGTGACTGTGGTTATTTGCTACAAATGCTTGTAAATTCCTCAACCTCATGTATGGCATACTTAACAGCTCTTGAACATGTGGAAAGGAAAAACTACAGACCATAAGTCCTACGTACAACAAATTTTGTCTCTTCATTACTGAAGTACTAAGCAATTTTGAAAGCAGTGAGAAATAACAACTGGATATTTTTTTTTGCCTATCCTAAGAGATAATAGAATATGATTATTCAATTACAGTATTTATAGAAAGTGAGGGGACTTCATCAAAAAACCACCCAGGTTCATAAAAGTAAATAAGCGAAATACCGTAACTGTTTGAATTAAATTATTTTAAAAATGAAAAGAAAATACGGTGAAAATTAACAGGTAATAGCAGCTAAAAAAAATGAACCTCGTTGGGATATGGAAAATGTGAACAGAATTCGAATAATTGGACAGGGCAATTAATTTGCAAAGAATAATCTACCTACTTGTAAGTAGCATAAATAATAAAGGTAAATGGATCAAGAATACACAAAAAGCATTCAGTTAACAACCTGTATGTGTTTACTTTTGAATAACGAGGAATACGTGGTCGAAGCACACGGATGAATTAAAGTATGTAAGGAATGACAATACTTATTAACATATCTATGACAAAACGACGATGAGGTCAAACTACACAAAATGCTTAAACGAAAATATGAGATAAACAGATGTCATTAAAATATTTAGATCGGAACATAAAACGATGCACACAACTATCCAGCCAAATTATGACCATAAAAGCGTCGACTATGGAAGGCTATAGTAGGGTTGGCAAAAAGAGATTAAATGGGCCAGTTTGAATACATTGGACTTATATGATCTTTAAATTTGGAATGTTAAGATGTTTTAACTGTTTCACCCTATAATGATGACATGATGATAACGCTAAGGTATTGTATATGATGACTATCATATATGAATTATATTTACTCACTAGATCGGATATCAGCATGATTGACTAAAAAGTCTATACAACCAAAGAGAGAGATGGGAAGAGAGAGAGGTAGACATGAGTGACATTTTCACTAATCTAAATACTGGAACTTACATAAAAACGAAACAATACATTTCAAGATAAAGTGAATTCCGAATTCTGAAGAGGAAAGAATCAATTGTATTCCAAGTCCATGAAAAATGCGCTAAATATTGTGGCTCCTATTTTGATATAAACATAACATATAAAATACAGCGTTAAACCATCTTAAAAAGGCAATAGTGTTCGTCTTACACAGTCGATTTCTTCAAATGAATTGGCCATTTCTCTACGAAACAAAATTGGAGATAATCAAATTATTGGTAGCATATACACACTTAATCAGTGCTTTTCGTTTGTGTGTAAGTCACAGATAGATGCTGCGTCGACATCAATGGGGTCGATTAAGAAGATCACCTCTCGTATCAACGTCATACACGATATAATTGTCGATTAATGATTAAATGTGCTCAACATGGATAGTTTTGATCAGTGGTAATAGAAATAAAACTTTGATAGGTGTTGGTGAAATATGATTGGCATATAAAGCAGTATTTGTCAATTAAAATACCAACCAATACTCACCGTTATCCCTACTTGAACTACCATTAAGCGTAATTATAATATCACTAAAAAATGCGATATTGAGTGAGATGACCACATGGAATCAAATCTCGTGTAAAAGTAACAATCAAGCTATTAAAAGAAGATGTTATAAAATTGAGGGCATATTCTTTAAAAAAATACAGGAAGGGGAAAGTAGAATATTAGGCAGATAGATAAATATTCATTAAAGAAACCTTGATGTATACAGTATCTAGTTTGGACAGAATTCACACGGTAGTATGAGAATAAAACAACTAAAATTGATCGTTAGACATATCACAAGTGCAATCGCAATTCAAACATAAAATATAAAAAGAAATGGAACTAATACAACTGAAATGACGATCGAATCGACCAGATCTGGCATGAACATATACACATACTTGCGCCATTACTGTGAAATTTCTACCTCCATAACATGCTTTCATACTGTTCTGTAGTGAAAGCATCTAAGTACTGATCCTAATAAGACATCAATACAAACAATTGCATACATTTCCCGAGTCCACAGAAAAGCATCCCTGGTCTCCTTAAACCACGCTCCAAGTTACGTATTGCAGCCTTCAATGTCCGCACCCTCCGTCAAATTGGCCAACAGGCTTCGTTGGCAAAGACTCTAGCAACTCAGGGCATGGATGTGTTTGTGAGACACGCATACAG